AGTGAGCCAAAACAGATGTGACAGTGACAAAACACAAGGGATTGTTGGAGTGCCTCATGGTAGGTAGTTCCATGGCTGAGAAGTTCTGCATCAGCATCTAGTCATGTCACTGAGGCTTTATCCTGGGGTGGTCACATGTCTGAAAGATGCTAACACCAAACAGATGTCTGGTTTCCTATTCTCTTTCAGAGATTTCAGTAAGAGAACTGGCTTCGTTGTTGCTTTATTCTTGGGACGTCAGACTTCCTAAACTTACAGTGTCATCGGAAGCCCTTTGTTAAGCTTTGCTGTAGACCACCTGCTATTTAGAACTTGGCAAAAGAAATACAGACTGCTTTTTCTCTTGTACTTAAACTTTGTTTTGATTCTGTTCTCATGTAATTTCCTCCAGGCACACTGTTTCCTTTGATTTGATTTGACTAATACGCTTTTCCTTTATGATTTCTCCAGCTAGTAGTTTCAGTTTACAGTTGTGTGAGCATTTATCAAATGGAAAGTGTGTATTTTTGGAGTTTATTTCCAAACAAATAGAGTTAGTGACACATAAAAGTAGCTTTTTTGTTTGTTTGTTTTCTGGTCTGTATAAAAGCATTTGCTGAATAAAAGGTTTCCTGGTACAGTAATATGTCATCTTTTCACTCCTGCTCCTTATATGGTGAATTAAACTCCAAAGCTGAAGTGCTGGACTCCAAATAATTGGCAGAGGTATTTCTGGAAGGGCAACTAAAGGAAGAGATGCTCTAGGCTTAAGGACCTCTCCTGTCTTTCTGCTTGATTATAATGGTTTTAATTTGGTCAGCTGTCTCTGCACCACCTTAAGTTACTGTTTGGACTCTACAGCTTCTTGAAGAGAGTCATGTATATGTGTGGTTTGTGTGTGTGAGGAGGAGGGCTCTGTGTATGTGGAACTTGTTTCTTTGTTTTGACATGTTTTATACTTACTGCATTGCATAATAGAATCTTTATGTATTCTATAAATCCCCTCATGTAAGAGGAAATATGGAGACTTTGTGCAATTGCAAGTTCCCAATACAAAGCATGCAAAGTAATTTTGTATTGACTTCCATACTGAAAAGTAACCACCATGGTCCAGCCCCAGAAGTCATAAAACATGTTTTCCTGTGGTGGCTTCTAGCTTATGAATGTGTAGATGGTGACAGTGAGCTGCATGACATCTGTATTAAAGAGGAGGAGAGAAATTTCCAGGTCCATGGAACAGTGAATGTAATACAGTGGTGAATTGCATGTATTTTAGCTGTTTTGTGTCCAGACAGAGAGGGTTGATGTGCCAATAATTTATAAATGGCTTTATCCACACTTTAGAGTCTTAGAAAGGCTTCCTACCTAAGTGTCAGCAAGTACTAGCTGATGTCAGAGTCTCAGAACAAAATGTTCCTCTCCATCATGATCACATGAAGGAAGGTGTTATTTCAATACATAAACATGATTTTTATGTATTAGTATATAGGATATGGGAGGGAGGAAGGGAGGGAGGGGAAAGCAGGGGTGTTGTTCTAGAAACATGGTTTGGGTAAAAGTCAAAAGCTAATTTTCTTTCCATAAATCTAAATAGGACCTAATAGATTTAAAAGAAAATTACTTAATGACTTCAGGCTTTACTCTAGACCAAGCCTGGACAATACCAAGGAGCTGGGCTGTGTGTGGACATGCAGGAGGAATGGTTGCTTTGGAAAGGCTGGAGAAATTATTCCCTCCTGGTTTCAACAGGCTGTGAGGGGGCTCATTTAGGTTTTTTTTATTTCTAACTTCAAAGTTCAGCAGGAAAATTTCCTTTCTTAGTGGGGTGGAAAAAAATTCCAAGCGTTATTTGTAATGCAAACATTTTTTTGCTCTTTCAGTATTCTAAGGGTACATAAATGACATTGCTAGAATTATCTTCTTCTTGTCTTATTTATTTTCATATTATAGACTTCTCCCACATAATTATTTTTGATAATAAAAGTAAAACATATTAATGTCAGGATGGTTGCACACAAATTTGGATCTTTTGGTAATGTGCACATACAAAAATTCACTTTGCATTGCTGGGTTTGAGGCTGTGTTCTCTTAGAAACAAGAAATGTTGGACAGGTATTTGGAAGGAGGGAAGGGGATGTGAGATATCTAGAAAGCAGCATGGAGAATTCGTGTTGGAGCAGGCTCCTGGCAGTAACTGTGACCCATGGAGAGAGCCCACACTGAAGCAGGGGAAAGTGTGTGGAGGAAGGAGCAGCAGAGAGGAGCTTTTGTGGACTGACCACAGCCCTCATTCCCATAACCACTACGCTTACTCTATTTTTAATTGGAAATAAATTTAGCTAATTTTTCCTAAGTTGAGCCTGTTTTGCCTGTGATGGTAACCACTAAGTAATCTCCCTGTCTTTCTCGTGACCCATGAGTTTTTTAATCTTATTTTCTCCCCTGCCATGTTGAGGAGGAGGAGTGAGAGAGCAGCTCTGTGGGTGTCCGACAGCCATCCAAGGTCAACCCACTGCAACACAGAGTAAATAAGTAACGGAACTCTTGCTACAGTGCCAGGGGCTCAAGTACCTATTCTGACCATTGCTCCTTGACTCACAGAGGTGATAGATACCAATAGAACTGCAGTTTGTGTTTTTAAAGGATGCTGAAAAAAAAAAAACCTAGAAAAAAATTATAAATGGAAAGGGCCATAGGAACAGTTTGGATGGAGAATTCCCTCTGTTGCGCCAGACTTAAACAATAAGGAATGATCTTGGAGAAGAAAACTGATGGTGTGCTGTATGGGACTAGTGCTGCTTATTATGTACATCAGTGACAGACAAAGGGATTGAGTGCACCCTCAGCAAGATTGTGGGTGACACCAAGCTGAGTGGTGCAGTGACACACCTGAAGGATGGGGCCATCCAGAGGAACCTGGACAAGCTTGAGAAATGGCACCATGAGAATCTCATGAGGTTTAACAAGACCAAGTGCTGGTGCTGCATCTGGGTCGGAGCAACCTCCAGTTTGAATCCTGGGGGATGAACAGATTGAAAGCAGCCCTGCTGAGAAGGACTTGGGGGTGCTGGTGGGTGAGAGGCTGGACATGACCCAGCCATGTGCACTGGGAGCCCAGAAACCCCCCGTGTCCTGGGCTGCATCCAAAGCAGTGGGGACAGCAGGGGAGGGAGGGGATTCTGCCCCTCTGCTCTGCTCTGGTGAGACCCCACCTGCAGTGCTGCCTCCAGCTCAGGATCCCCAGCACAGGAGGACATGGACCTGTTGGAGTGAGTCCAGAGGAGGGCCACAAAAATGATCCCAAGACTGGAGCACTTCTCCTGTGAAAATAGTCTGAGAGAGTTGGGGTTGTTCATCCTGTGAAAGTGAAGGGGATTTGTAAGAAAGATGAGGACAAACCTTTTGATAGGGGCTGTTGTGTGTTAAGACCAGAGGTAATGTTTTAAACTAGAAGGTAGGTTCAGACTTGTTATAAGGAAGAAAGCTTTTATAATGAGGGTTGTGAAACACTAACACAGGTTACCCAGAGTGGTGGTAGGTGCCCCATCTCTGGGGACATTCAAGGCCAGGCTGGATGGGGCTCTGAGCAACGCGATCAAGGAGTACGTTTCAGGAGACTTGGACTAGATGACCTTTAAAGATCCCTTCCAATCCAAACCATTCTAAGATTCTATGATGATACCTTCAAACAAAAAGAGCATGTTAACTCTGAGCTGTGAGGACCCACAGCTGAAAGCCCAAATGGACTCAAGGGAGGAGTGAGGCATCCACTTCAACAGGAGCAATCAACTGTCAAAAGAAAACCGTAAGAAGCAAAAGATTCTTAATTTGTTTGTGTCTTCAGATCAAGGCTGGATATCCATCTGTTAGGTTGTGTGCAACTCTTCCCCCATCAGGAAAGGGAAATTAATTCTTTAGGGATGGATGCCTTAAGGAGGTCTGTGTGCACGAGAAAGAAACTAGTTTAATCTTGCTATTTACCTGTCAGTCAAAAGATTATGCTTTTAAACAAGCCATGTTTCTAAACACTGTTGATGGGGAGAGGGGCTCAGTTCTTGTTCATACCCTCTGTAGCAATTGTTCAGTTGGCTGATGCAGATGGAGGAAAGGGACTGCATTAGGAGTGTCCATGCTGTCTTCAAAACTAGCCCTAAAACCCAAGGGAACTTGAGATGGTTTGGGGGGGGGGGAAAGGGGGGAAGTACACCTCTGTAAAGAACTGTACTTAGCTGCTGTTAAGCACTTGGTAGCCTGCAGTGAAGTAATTGTAATAACTGTAACTTAGGCCTTGCAGGAACACTTCTGAATTGTGAGGGAACACAGTGGAATCCTTTCCTGGGAGGAGAGCAGCTCTTAAGAGAGGATACATAGTTAGATCCAGTGGGATAAAAGATAGCTCGGTGGGGGTTGATATAGGACTAGTGGTTATTTCACTTGTTCTCTCTGGAATTTCAGTATTCCAAATATATGAGATATCCAAGAACATATGGCGTTTTTATTCTCTCTTTGATTTAAAACTATAGAAATGTCGTCTAATGTTTTCCTTCCCATTTCAACAAGATTTTGAGGTAGTTGCCAATTACTGCACGTATTTTTTTTACCCTGTAGAAGCTGTATGTGGTATTCTTCAGCAAACACGCCTACCTTGTGGTAGGAACGCAATGGAAAATACACTTGTGGATTAATAGAAGTGTCCCCAGTTAGAAACAGACTGAGACATTACCCCAGTATAAAACAACGTCTACTGTTTATAGAGAACTTCTCACATGTAAATGTTATTATGCTGTTGTAAAAAAGAAATACTACTATTTTTTGCAGGTTCAAGAGCATGGAGAGGAAAAGATGAATTGTTCAAGGCCAGCCCTGGTCTAGTTCTTAGTCCTGTGGTCTCCCTAGTGGACAATGTGTAACCTATCCAGAGCAAGGAGGTCTCAAAAACATTGCTTGTAGCTGCTGAAGCACATAAGAAATTACAAGTGTCTATTGCTGATTTGTTTTTGTTTTTTTCTTTCCCCTGGCAGATCCTGAAGTGTCCGGAATTTCCATTTTAACAGATAACGAAAACGTAAAAGCAGAGGAGTTTAAGGGTACAGTATGGGCATTGCTGTGATAACTTTTAATGTATACACAATACATGAAAACTATATATACAGAAGCTATGCAGCTGTTAAGGTTGTCTTCCTCTTTCCTGAGGAGTACTGCTCCTACTCTCTCCATTGACTTTGTGTTATCTTGCTCTTGTCCCCATTTTCTGTAAGTGTGGGGTTGGACTTGGTGCTCCCCAGAGTCCTTTTAAACCTCACCTGTCCTGTGATTCTATGACTTGTCAGTCCAGGTAGTTCACTCTGTAACTTCGGCCTGGTCTCCTTCCACCCAAAATGATGGGAGCTGCTGAAAAGGAGAAGCATTAAATATAACAAGAGAAGTAAGAGACTAGAGAGAACAGCTATAATTTAGCTAATTATAAGTAACTATAATTTAATGGCTTTTTTTAATAGCACCAAGCTTATTAGAGTTCAAGAAGCATCTGGACAAAACTCATGACTACAGTTTAGTTTTAGGTAGTCCTATGAGGAGCAGGGAGTTACGTTCAATGATCCTTAGAGTCCCTTTCAACTTGAGATATTCTATAATTCAATAACCAAATTATAGCCTCCAGACCAGATCTAAAACCAAATTAAACATTGTCCAGACCTCTCGAAGATCCCAGAAGGTTTTTCCAGGCTTGGCAGTGCCAGTAGTGATGCACAGCATCCTGTGGGTCTACCTTAATGCAAGTTAAGTAGCCCTACTGTGGAAAATACCTCTCACTGACTCCATTACTGTGGGGGAAAGTGGGAGAGGGGAACTATAACTAAGGAGGGTTTCATTATGTTGTCTTTGTTCTGTGCATGCTCCCTTTCTTCTACCCTTTCCTTTTCTCTGAATAAGATTAGTGAATGGGCATCACCGCTATTTTTTTCTGAAACAAAAACATGTGACATGTAAGAAAGGGGCAGCTCATTCGAGACAGAGGTGACTTGTTCTGCTGAGAACACTTCAGCTGAGCTGTCTCTGTGTCAGCTAATAGAGACCAGCTCATGAAACCGGCCAACTGTCACAAGGTCAGCAGCAAAAGCAAGCTGAGCTTGAATGATGGTTTTTCTTTGTAAGAAGGATACAAAAACAAAATGGAAAGGAAACTTTAGCAAATCTTAAGATTCAGGAAGTCTCCACCCATCCACTCAACCTGAAGTCAGGAACCTTGGGCTTCCTGAGTGCACAGTATGTTTTTCGAAGCGGCCGGTGCGTGTGTAACATGTTTCTGGCAAGGAATGCCCTCCTGCCTCAATTTTTCTTTCAAGTCTGGACATTTTTTCCCCTGTGAGTTATCACCAAGGCTACCAGTCTGGCTTTTTGTTTCTTTGCAGAGCAGACCTAGGAAATCAGACTCTGAAGGGTGAGAGGGTGAACTGTCAGTAGCTCTTAATTACCGTCCAGCCTCGTTTGCTGAGACTGGAGAGGATGATGGTTAATGCAGGTTGACTATGTTTGAGCAGTGCATGTTTGTCTCATGAAAGCTGGACAGGCATTGCCAAAACTATAAAGGCTTTTGATCCTTGTTACTCTGGCCTCTACTGGAAGATGAGCTGCCTAAAGGTGGGAAGATCTATGTTATGTTTGTTTCTTCTACAGAAGTTTCTGGAAGATACTAGATTTTACTTTATTAATAGATTTGGAGCCAGTCAGATGTATAGCTGAATTTTTTCCTCTGATGTTGTTTCCAAATAATTCTTATTAATACCTTGACTTTAGAATTATTTACTGGGGAGATATATATATATGTGTGTGTGTGTGTATATATATATGTGTGTGTGTATATATATATATATATATATATGTATATGTATATTTCAGCATGCTTTTACATGGAGAATGGAACTACTGGAATGCCCTGCTGGGAGGACAGTTGGGCTCACAGGATTTCCTGTTCTTCATTAGGAGCACTAATTTTGGTGTTTTGTTTTGGTTTTTTTCCTACCCAGTTATGGCAACTTTAGCAATAATCCAATAATCAGTAACTCTTGAAGTCTCAGCCTCTCTGTGAAATTTGATTGGTGATGCCTATTATACAGGAGTCAGGGAAACTTGAGTGGTCAGACAGAAAGGTGAACAATTGTATGAATCTTCTTTTCACGAGAACTCAAGAAAACTTAGAGGTAACTCCCATGAGATGTTATGAGCAGCCTCTGCTGCCAGAAACTCCAGGGGCCTGGGGATTCCTCAAGCTCAGCCACTGGAGCTCAGCCTGGAGACCTGGGGGTCTTTGTCCCAGGCTGATGGGCACAGCTGCTGCTTTCCCGTTTGCATGTTCAGCCAGTGACAAGGCTGTGTGTGTGTCCCAGGGGTGGCTGTGTGTGCATTGGTGACACTGGCACAGCTACACTGACCACCATGGACAAGGCACTGCCCTCAGCAGCACTCACTGCTGCCCAGACTCACACAGTGCATCAGGCACAGACAGCAGAGCCTCCTTCCTCTTCTCTGCCTGGTGGAGATTGAATTCCCCGGCAAAAACCCTCACACAGTGTTCCAGATTCACAAGCACACGCGTGTTCTTGGATCCTCTGAGTCCCAGCACAGCCCCTCTGCCCATCCCCTACCCCTGCCCTGCTCAGCAGCTCACCCAGCTGGAGGTTTGCTGGTGAATTACACACACACCTCCGGGCACACCAGCTTTGGGAAAGTACAAACACTGCATACCCTGCACACCCCCACTTCCAGAAGCCAGCACTGCAAGTCCAGTGTGACCCATTGCCCCAGTGTGACCCCAGCTGATGGACCTAAATTTATTCAAGCCACCTTTCATGTAAAAAGACAGCCCTGCACTGTGGGCTTGGAGATTCACACACACACACTCCCAGTATCTGTGGCCCCTCCAGCTACTGATGCAGAGACCCTCACTCGCTCCAGTTGCTCCATTTGCCCACGCTGCATCCCAGCACTTGAAGATTGGGGTTTAAGACTGTTTGGAGACTGATGGTCGTTGTCATTCTCTCTGTTTGTGTCCCTGTTTGTGTCTCTGTGGTTTCGTTTGTTGTTGCCCCTTTACTTATGACCACTTTTGAAGTGAAAATGTCCTTGATGGGGAACCTTAATGAGGCAGGCTCTCACCTTCCATATACCCTCACAATAACCAAAGTGGAATTGTAACTAAATACATAAAAACATAAGATACTTAGAAGAACGTTTAACCATCTTAGTGAATGTTTTCTATCTGCATTAAGTTACATATTTAAACAGTTAAACTGTTAATACTGAATTCAGAATGGTAATTTAAAAAATATTGTTAATAACAGGGTAAAAGTCCTTTTTTAACAGTGGTCTGCTAACTGAAGAAAGTTAACTAAAGTAACTAAAATAAGGATAGTAATACAGAATCTCTGCCCATCCAACATGGGAATATTTAGTTCCCAATATCTGAAGTTTGATCCAAAAGCCACTGAAGTATGGGAAAATTACTAGTTTCTGTTTTCCCACTGTGTTTATTTAAATCCGGAGAGTCCGGAGAGGCATAACTTTGAGAAGTAGATCTGGCCCTTGCTTACTGCTCAGTTTCTTTTGAAGGGGGAATATTAATTTCATGGAGCCTGAATGTGTACCAAACAAGTAAAGTCTCTAACTTTCCCATTTGTGTTCTCTTTTCTTTTTCCCTCTAGAGGCGATTCTTAGTTGCAAACACAAATCTTCAAAAGGGATGAGCTTAAGAATAGAATGGAAGAAAATCCAGCCTCAAGGAGTCTCATTTGTCTACTACAATGGTGAATTTACAGGTACAGTACTGCAAACAGACTGATGCTTAACATGTCATTCTCTAGCATAGATATTGGCTGTCTCTTGGGGAATAACACTAGGAAAATGACTGAAGGAGAAGGCTCTTGACTGTCTATACGGAACAGCTGTCCTTTCAAGGTAAAGAATTCTTTCCCGGGGGAAAAAGACATTTCTTTATAAAACTGTGAGTTGTTACCTTTTTAATGAATTTAAATATCATAAAACTCAAGACTAAGAGAAATGGCACTGGAGATCCTTGGTATTTTCCAACAGTGAAATTATATGCAGATATGAACTTCCTGAAACTACTGCAGGTTCTGCACTCCTATCCTAAAAAGAGGTTTCTGAAGCCTCTTGTAGAGCTGGAGGCTTGGAAATGAATAATGCAGGAATTTTTATATACATAAAATATAAACTCAGCTGTATATTTTAAATTATTTGTATTCTTTTCAAAAGTAGAATTTCTGTTTGTATGTTCTGAAAAGGACTTACCTCAGCTTTGTGTGTTGGAGAAAATATGGGTCTCTTGTTACCTTGTACACAATAAATGAAGGTTGAGAAGTAAAATAAAAGCACAGCAATTTTGTTACTTTGTAGAGCTTGCAGATGTGCTGACCTTGTTGATGAACTTTTTTCTTTTTCTGCATATATTTAATTTAGAGAAACACTGGAACTTGTGGTTCAGTGTGTGAATGTAACTTTAATTTCATAACAAGCTGTAGAATTAAAAGAACCCAAACTCATTGTAAGAAATCTGATGGCAATATCTTTGCTATATCCATCAAATTTTTCTTGCCAAGTTAAAATGTCAAATCCTTTGCTGTGGTTTCACTCACAATTCTTTCTGTAAGGTAATTAAGTTAGTGATTGCCATTTCTCTAGGGAAAGATATTTCTTTTTTGCCTCCTGACTACTGCTATAAATATTTTCTTGAAAAATCTGCAGAAAAAAGCATTCAATCTTCCAACTGGAAAACGTTCAGCAGACGTAGGTTTTTTAACTGGGGCAAGGGGGGTATTTGGACTAAATGGACAAGTTGTGGAAGGTTCTTACTGTCTTGGGAAGGGGATTAAATATTACATGTTGCTGATAGATAACTAACACTGAACAAACGAGCAATAGTTTTGTGTATGATATCACATAAAGTATCAATGAATTGTATGCGATTTCAGAATAAGCAAATGAGCTGTAGATATTTGCTTTCAAACTGACAGAGTGGAAATTTAGGTTAGATATACAGAGGAAGATCCTTACTGTGAGGGTCATTAAACTGGCACAGGTTGCCCAGTGAAGCTGTGGATGCCCCATCCCTGGAAGTGTTCAAGACCAGGTTGGATGGAGCTCTGAGAAACCTGGTCTAGTGGTAGGTGTCCCTGCCCACAGCAGGGCGTTGGAACTGGGTGGTCTTTTAAGGTCCCTTCCAACCCAAACCATTCTGTGATTCTAAGATTCTATAAGCAAAGAGCAGAAACCTCTCTATTCTCCCTTAAAGGTGATCTTCGAGGCCGAGCAGAGATGCTGAACCCAGGAATCCGAATTAGGAATGTGACTAGAAGGGATTCTGGGACCTACCGCTGCGAAATCAGTGACAAGAGTGAAGGGCATCCACGCCTGCAAGAGGCTGTAATTACCCTCACAGTGTTGGGTACAAACTTTATTACTTGGGCTTTTGTAAACAAACTGAATGAGGATGTGTTGGGGTGTTGAAGGTAGTGTTGTCCACTGTGGCATGTGGCTGCTGGGTTTTGGGTCTTCTTTGGGCTGGGATTATAAATACATGTGCACATGCACGTTCTACAGCATGCTTCACAAAACAGCTTTGCAAAAGTCACACTTACATTAGAAAGGAACATAATTAAGGTTTTGTTGATATAAAAGTGAGTTTCAGTTCTCAAAACTTAGCAAGTATGCTGATCTACACAGTGGTGAAACTTCCATTTCTACTAAGGCTGAAGTCGCTCAGTGGCTGAGAACCTGGATAAGACAATCATGGTGTTTGGCACTGGAAAGTCAGCATCTGTCAACACTTATTAAATATTCATAAGCAGAAGTTCATTCCAATATGCTACAGTCTCCTCCTGGTTTTGGAAGGAGAAACTGCTGCAGTGTCTGTGCAATGACAACCAGTGAGCTTGCATTTTGTGGACTTTATTTACAGGAGAGATAGTGTTGGCTGCTGGGGGGGTGGTTGCTCTTTATGGGGTTTTGTTTGTTTTCTTTCCCAGTTGGGTAAAGGAGGGAAACGTGAATACTGAGCACATTCTTCCCATGTTTCTGGTATTTTTCCCAGCAGATGAGTCGTAGATGTTGATGGTTTTCTTCTTTTTCCTGTATAGGGAGAAAAGAAAATATTTGCTTTTGTAGTTTTTGTATTCTTTTCCATAAAAAAAAATTGATCTTTTAAAATTATAAATAAAGTCTCAAAGTTCTTCATAAAGGATGATAAATTCACGAACCTCTGATTAGCTACAACAGTGAGATAACTGTTGTAAATTAGGTTCCTTTCCTGTTCATGTATTAAAAATCAGAAAAGAGGTGTTCATCTGCATGGGAGAAGGAACGAACAGTTCTCCCACATCTTTGCGTGGGAATGTTTGCTTTTAATTTAAACTGAAATGTAGTAACAAATTGGTTTTGGTCCTCAGCCTGGGATTTATACAATGGCTGCAATGATTGCCAGTCTTTATGATTCTTTCTGACAGTCACTTTTCAAAAACCAGTTGACTTCTTTTAATAAGAAAAAATCTTTTTCCTCTTCCTCACTTCTGTTTTTAAATAGTAGGGCAGGGAAGGGGGCAATTGCTGGGCTGCAGATTCCCTGAGTTATCCCATCTCTGTTCTGTGAACAAGAAACAAAAATGAAACAAACTCTGTGGGGTTGGGCGAGAGTGCACAGATTGGAGGCAGAATGACACAGCATGTGGTGGGGGAGGCTGGCTCTCTCATTTTTAGCAACTCATAAATTTTACTCTGCTCTCAGTAGCAGGACTCTGCCTTCAACCCCTTCTCCCATGCCTCATTTCATTGATGTGGTACATCAATGCTGAGCATGTACACAAGTGTTCACCTCCTCACCATAACTATCAATCTGTTGTCATGCAGACAGTACTTATAAGTGTGTAACAAGTGCAATTCCATTGTCCAGTTGCTCCAACTACTCCGGTGTGTGATGTGCCGAGCTCCGCGATGACGGGAACAGTGGTGCAGCTGAGCTGTAAGGAGACTGAGGGCTCTCCTCCATCTGAGTACCAGTGGTACAAGAACGGTGTTGCCTTGCTGGAAAAGACAGGAACAGGCAGTGCTAGAACACCAAATATAACTTACACCATGAATAAGAAGTCTGGCACTTTGGTAAGTGTAATAACCAGCTCTGTGATAGCCAGCTATCAAGGAGACCCAATTGACTGTTTAGTACAATGATGCACAGGGGTCTTAATCCAAAAATGCACAAGGTCTTTGTCGGAGATTAATGTCATGCTGAAATATGTGTTAACAAATGTAGAAAGTAGTTTCTGCCTCAAACCAGTGCCAACCTGTAGACGTTGAGTGATGCAGACAAACCGGGTGAAGTGCGAGTCTGAAGCGATGAGAACTGAGCAGGATCGAGAAAATACTTGACAGATTTCACCTTGTCAGTTAGAAAACTAATGCCAGGTGAGAATGAGTGCTCAGTATGGCAACAGAGCTATATTTGGTAGAACTTAAAATCTGAAATAGCAGCTTCAGGGGGACTGCAAGCACTCAGATCACAGAATCTCTGCGATCCAGTGACACTTACGAGCTCCCATCCAGGGCCTGTGAAGTTGGTGGGAATGAACTGGGGCTGTGAGTAAGGTTAGTAGGTTCTGTGTTTAGTTGTAGTTTGTTTTGTGGGTTGTGTTGTTGGGTTCTTTTCCCTCAGAACTGGCTGTCTCTTCCTCATCCCTCTCCCATTAGCTGATCTTTCAAAAAAATCTTGATACTACTTCGGGTGCATTGTCAGCTGAGCTTTTTCAGAAGTAAAGAGTTGTTCTCTGAATGCTGTGACTCAGCATTCAGAGGTGCTGGGGATCTTTCATCACACTGTGGAAATCAGCTGGTCTGCTCAAACTTATTAATTACTTCTAAAATCTCAAAGTATGGCATATAGTAAAGGGAAAACAGTTAACAAGTCTAAAAAAGAATACAGGGAAGCACTGGAGTTGACATGAGGTCAGTCTCCATGCACCTCTTGCTTCTTCATTTTCATTTTTACAGTAATAGTATTTGATAAATAGTATGGTTTAGCATTTTTCTGCTGGAAGAAGAGACAAAATGCCATTTTTGGAGGGGTGGGGACCCCCCAAATAAGGCTTAAACTTCAAAAAAATTTCAGTTGACAAGGCACTGTAAGTAGTATGTGTCAAGTGTTTTTGACGAATCAGCAAATGGGGTTGTTTTGATAAAATGAACAAACTGCTCTGATTTCAGGTATTTTTCGGGTATATTTCAGGTATTCTGAAATTTCACACTTTCCTTCAGGGTTTTTTTTTTGTTTGTTTTATTTGTTTAAAGCAAACACTCCCCCCCCTGCACCCATTGACATGTCAAAATTTCTATCCCATGGGAAATGCCAATCTTTTTTTTCCATTCTAACACTTGTTTTGAACTCTTTCTTAACAGCTATTTAACACGGTTACAAAGAATGACACTGGAGAGTATTTCTGTGAAGCCTCCAATGGGATTGGATTATCTCAGAGATGCTCAGTGAAGCGAATGCAAGTCGGTATGTGTCAAAGAAAATAAGGGTGGAAAACAGTCTTGCAATAGGATTTATTTAATGGCATGGTACAACTGAGAAGCTAAGACCAGATTGAATTAAATCAGATTGAATTAAATCTTTTTATTTTGGTTATGGAATTTGGGGGAGGAATAATAATACTATGACTTCCTTATATGTAGTTGCTGTGGCCACTTAAAGCTTTCCTTTCTTACAGCACAAACATATCTCACTGTATGTCAGAGAAAAGCAGGTAGTTTAGTACCATAAAATTATTGCAGTAGCCAACCCTTAGGTTGCTAAACACAACTTCACAGAAGAGCAGCAGCCATATGAGAGCCTTAATGTTTCCAAATGCTTTTGTGGAAGGCTTACAGGATAACGTGCCAGTCCACTGGGGTATTTTCTTCATGCAAAGCCTCCCTTTTAGGATGTATTTATGTGAGATCTGAATGTAACAGAATAGAAGGTTAACTGAGTGATTCATTTATACCTGACAGAGGAACACTGAAGAAGTCAGTGTATCTTAAAAATAAACAAATAGATAAATAAAGCCTGCTGCCTGTGTCTTTTCTACTTGTACAGCATGGGTGAAGTGTAACACTGGTTAGCTGATAAGGAATTAACAAAGGCTGGAAGGGTCAAGTCTATAATTACCCAAAATGCATGGAAGTTTTTGCAAAATATACAACTACCTCTTGTAGATGTGATAGGAAAGCAAATGGTAACAAATTCCAATAACTACTGCAGAGGAGATCCCATCCAAGTGTTTCATAAAGTGATTGAGTGGTGCTTTTTTAGAACTTAGCTGAAAATCACTGTGTCATGGCTTTTAATGCACTCCTAGTGGATTGTGAGCAAGTGTTCCTCAAGCTACTGAGATAGAATCCCTCTGTTGTGGAAATACACACATAGAGTCCTAAATTGCTGTCAACCAGTACACAAAAATTTATAGGTTTGTGAGTAAAATTCGCAGTCATATATTAATGTATCCTTAAAGTAAGGATCCAAATAGGTAATTGGACACATCACAAAAACCTGTGAAAATGTTTCTGCTTGTTGATGCTTTTGTTTTTCATAAAATGGATGATTGTCTGAAGCTCTTAGTGATTATATCAGGAAATGGGCATGGCCCATGTCATGATTTAACCCAAGCTACCACCTTCAAAATAAAAATGGCTAGGTGTATGTATGGCCTGATGAAGAGTTTAACTTCAGACAGCTTGGGTTTATTGTGTTCCATTTTAAAAACCTTGCTCTTTAAAAATTAAAAAAGCATTGAATTGTAAATAACACATTTGAAGGGTTCTTCAGAACTGGAGCCATCAGCTGTTTCAGTTGTTTTAGGCAAATTAACTGTATGAAAAGACTTGATTTAATACTTACAAAGATTTCAAGGTGTTTTCCCTTAGAGACACATGACTTGGATAAGACTTATTTGGGATAGGTATGATGAGGAGTATGTATCCTGCGGCCTGTCTTACTCTTTCCTTACTTTTCACCCTACTTAAGCAGTTGAAGTGCATCAAGCACTTCTCTTCACGTGGCTGTGATACAGTAGTGCTTTTAGACTTCTTATCCATGTCTGAGTGTTACTAATCAATTTATCCAGCTTGGGCCAAAGACCACCTATGGATAAAACAGGTGCCCGTAGCAATTAGGGAAAAATCCAGCCAATGGAAATGTTTACAATTTACAACACTGGCCTTGTGTTTTATAATTACAGATGACCTGAATGTAAGTGGTATCATTGCTGCTGTAGTATTTGTGGCTCTGGTAATGGCACTGTGTGGCCTTGGAGTATTTTATGCCCAAAAAAAAGGCTACTTTGCAAGTAAGTAAAATAAAATCACTCCTTCCTTGTGTCAAAAAAATGTCTGTACATAGCAGAGTTTCACAAAAGATCTCTGTTACCCAGAGAAGCTGTGGCTGCCCCATCCATGGAAAAGTTCAAGGCCAGATTAGACCAACCTGGAGCAACCTGGTCTAGTGACCCTGGCAGGGTCTGGACATGAGATGAGCTTTAGGGTCCCTACCAACCCAAACTAATTCTATAATTTTATGATTCTGCTGACTGTATCATGTCCTTCTTTTCATGAAGGTTCTAACTCCATGGTACTAAAGCTGGAGAGCATTACTAAAGCATTTTTTGTGCATTTTTATTTTGCCAACTTCTACTCCAAAAGATACATCAAGAATGACATGGAGACATTTGTGCAGTTGCTTACAGCTACCAAACAGCAATTTAGGGAAAAGCAATAAGCCAAACCCTGGTTCCTGGAGCCTTTCCGCTCTAGTTTTGAGAGGGAATAACAAAGAAAGGGAACATAAAAACAAGCCAGTTTTAGTACACAAGGTCTGACCGGCTGAGTTCTGGTGAGAGTGAAACTAAATTAACTGTCCCGTTCCTCTGGGTGATGGAGAAAGTTTGCTTTTAGGGGTTGCTGCAAAAGGCTTGACTCCCAGCAACCCTCTATAGCATTTACATTGGTACCTGCAGTTGAGCACAGCAAAAAGGGATGACAAATGTCAGGATCTGAAAAGTTCACCTGTCTCAGTAACAGAGGCTACAGAGCTGCTGTTAGAGTTCACTTGGAGCTTTATTTAGCCTTAAAAGCAGCCTAATCTTTTTTTCTCCTGTTTAAACTCATTACACCAAAAAGAGATATTTGGTTCAGAAACTCCTTGTAGAAACTGGAGAGCTGAATAAGCTAGAAATAATTATTTCAAAGGACTTTAAATCAGTGAAGGAAACTGTTCTGGTGCTAATTCTTTCTTTTTTTTTTCTTTTTCAGAGGAAAGCTCTTCCCAGTAAGTATCTTGATGCATGTAGTACACAAATCACTGCAAATTTCACTTACATTTCTGGTGATTTAGTAACTGTAATGATTTTTATGGCCTTTTTTACATGATTCTTGACACCAAAATAAACCCGATCCTACACACCAGCTGGTTCTCGTATTAGAACCAGTGTGCTGGTGAGACAGTGAATCTTTACATTGCTGTGATCAGTGTGCAGAGATGTCTTTTATAGTTATAGTTTACAGCCCTAATTCACCTTACAGGCGTTCATGTGTCTCCTCTACAAGCTAGACAAAAGACAATCAGAACCAAATTGAACTGCCTTCATGTCCATGTCCACAGGTTATTTCAGGAAGTGTTTTGTAAAAATATGGCTGGTGGAAACTTTCTGATGGTGCCTAGTCTGCTCCTTTGATATGGATTTATTTCATTTGCTTAAATTTCTTAGTAGCAAGTCAGAATTCCTCAAGCTATTTTAGTGCTCCCACAGGAGGCTAAAATTGTGCGCTTCATTGGAGGAGGCCTCCAGTATTTTTTTTGTTTTTGCTTTCAGAAGTTTATCTTAGCACTTCTAGGTAATAGCATTAAAAAAAAAACCAAAAAGGGTAATATACTAAACAGAAAGATGATGTGATTTATACTGGCCATGAACTGGATAAAAAGTGTAAGTGAAAGACTTAAAAAGACAAGGTAGAGAATGTGATTTGCAGTGGTTTATGAGATAATGACAGTTATCTAAAAGCATTCAATGGATTTTGTTATCGCAACTTTTTTTTAAGAAGGGGGGAGGAAAACGCTAAGGGTCACTGGAAATGTGGAAAAATGCATTCATACATAAGGTTCCCAAATGGCTAAAACAAATACCAGAAAAGTCACTATTTAACCTGTATTCCTTTTGTGCTCTGTTAACAGAAAGAAGACGAACTATCAATCTACAAGTGAAAAGGCAAGTCTTTTGTGTTCAGTACTGTGTTTAAAAAGTTTTAGATGCATTTACAGCTTCCTATCACATAGTTTCCAGTGCCACACAACTACAGCACCTTGCTCAGTACTTTGCCATCTTCTCCTACATATCAATTAACGAAGGAAACTAACTCAGACAGTGTCCAGGGCAGTAGTGAGTGTGAGAAAAAGATTGGGCCTTAATTCCTCTAAGAATAATGGGTGTCAAAAGACTTGGCCAAATATGGAAACTGAGCATACTACCTTTTTTCCCCTCTTTTAGAGGGGTTGAGAGGCTTTAACTGTTTGTAGGTTGCTCCAGCTTTTCAGATTGGTGCGAAATGAATGGTGCTCCAAATAAAACTTAAACTAAGAGCAACTTTATTTCACAGTATGTACTTTAAGGCTATTAAGTAGCATTAGTAGTACTAATGTAGCCTTAAAAGCTCCCTGAACTCCACCCCAGTTCTTAATCAAAACAGAACATACTAAATTGCATAAGCCTGTTCCTTAACCTAGTATGTCTATAAGGAACTACCTGGTTGCTCTGAGTGGGAAGGAGCAAGTTTTGAAGAGCTGTGGTATCTGCTTATCTGTGTTAATGCACTTACAAATCAGATGCTCAACAGAGCTGTTTAATACTTGCATTTATGAATACGTTATTACTTCTGTTCTGTGTAGCAGTGCATTCCTTAGACTTTCCATTCCAGAAAAGAGTAAACACCTTAACTTACAGTGCCTCAGACGTACTTCTTGTCAATCTCAATGCCTTAATTTCTTCTGAAGTGTATTCTGTTCACCTGTTTAAAATATTTGAACTATTACTTATATAGCCTTATTTGCTTTGTTTAGGATTTCAAGCATACCAAGTCCTTTGTTATTTAGAAGATTTCAGCCTCTGTGAGGGACGTCAAAAGAATACTTGTTATACAAAAATATCAAAGTCTCCTGGTTTCGACTGGGATAATTTTCTTCCTAGTAGCTGGTACAGTGCTGTGTTTTGGATTTCATGTGAGAATAATGTTGATAACACGCTGATGTTTTTGTTGTTGCTAAGTAGTGCTTACACAAAATCAAGGACTTCTCCGTGTCTCATGCTTGGCCAGTGAGGAGGTGCTCAAGAAGCCGTGAGGGAGCACGGCTGGGACACCTGACCTGAGCTGGCCAAAGGGATATTCCACACTGTACATCATCATACCCAGTCTGTAAACTGGGGAAGTTGGCTGGGAGGGGCCAATCACTGCTGGGGGACAGGCTGGGCATCAGTCAGTGGGTGGTGAGAAACTGTGTTGTACATCACTTATCTTTCTTGGCCTTTACTCCTCTCTCCTTTTCATTACAATTATTATTGTTGTTATGATTATCATTAGTATTATTAGTATAATTAAATTTTACTTTGTTTCAATTATTAAACTGCTGTTACCTCAACCCACAATTTTTACTTTTTCTTTCCCAGTTCTCCTCCCCACCAGGGCTGGGGTGGGGGGCAGTGACCGAGTGGCTTCGTGGGGCTGAGTTGCTGGCTGGGCTTAACCCACAACAGTCCTTTTTGACACCCAGCATGTGACTCAAAAGGGTTGAGATAATGACAGATCTGATCAGAGCGTGTTAAAACAAATTTGTTATACGCGTTCATTGCGTTGGTTTAATAGTTGCTGGTCACCATGTTGATTTGTTTGCTCTGGGCATGGGCTAGGTTGTCATTGTGGTGTTCTTTGTCGTACCGGCTTGTGATATGAATGAGTGGCTGGCCGTGAGCCTCGCCTGGTGCGTGTCCTATCCGCCCCTCGGGAGCCATCTGGAGGAAATTATCCACAATTACATTTATTGCCTTTTTCCCTCGGAGAGCCAGTCTGCGGGATAAAACACCTTCTTTCCCCTCCAGGATGATTACAGTAGTGTTTGAGAAATCTGAAGACTTTCAGTATCCTTTTACCACCCTTGAAACCAGCCTGGTCCTTTCACTGGCAACCAACATATTGTTGCATGTGGTCCAGGTCGTCTTTAGGGTTAAGCAACAATCAGTGGCTACTCAAACCCCGGCCAAAAGTGTTGCGGCTACTTAAAATCCAGCAACACCTACTGTGCCTTCACAGACTCCAGTGACAGGCCAACAAGACCAAGAGGCAACCACTCAGTCCTTATCCCTGAGTGAGCTGTGGGATATACAAAAAGATTTCAGCCATTGTCCCAGTGAGTGCAGGACCACCTGGCTGTTCCAGTGCTGGGATAATTGGGCTAACAGTTTGGAGTTAGAGGGTAGGGAAGCCAAGCAGCTGGGATCACTTTCTAGGGAAGCAGGTATTGTTGAGGTGATTGGAAGAGGGACACAAGTCCTCGGCCTCTGGAGACGACTCCTGTCAAGCATGAAAGAAAAGTACCCCTACAAGGAAGATGTTCTGTGTTGCTCAGGCAAGTGGACAGCAGTAGAGAAAGGTATCCCGTGCCTGAGGAAATTAGCCGTGCTGAGATGATTTATTTTGACCTGAACAACGCGGAGTTCCCCACAGATCCAGACCGAGTCCTGTGCATACAACCCATGTGGCAGAAATTTGTAGGATACCCTGTGGTTTTAGCTGAGGGCCCACAGAGAGTACATGAGGAATTGAGATGAAAGACCTACCTCAACTCTAGAGACATGAATTGCAAGAGAAAACAATCCCAAATGGGAGTTCTTCCAGGAAAGTTGCTGCTTCAGTCTCCAGTGGACAGTTTTCCAGGCAGAGTGGAAGGGCTGAAATTACTCTTGATCCTATGGAAAGAAATTCTAATCTGCTTCTTCAGGAACTAAGCTTTCTTAGGCATTGTGGGTTTTCAGAAAATGCAGGTTCCAAACTACAGTCTGATTGTAAGCCCTTTCTATCAAATGACTCCGAGAAATTGTTTCACATGGGGCCCTGAGCAACACCAAGCCTTTGAACAAATTAAACAAGAAATACTTGGAAAACACTCGTAGACAGGTGGGCCAGAGAACATGGCATTGAGTGGGTAGATTGTATCCCCTACTGTGCACACTTGTTAAGGCAGAAGGATGGGGAAGTCTGGGTTTGATTTTGAGTGAGAACAGCCCAATGAATTTAATTGTGTGATGTTAATTGCTATATAACACTGTGTATTATCACTTCTGTATCAACTGTGTGCCCACCATTGCCTGGGCACCTCATAGTGCCTGCTTCCACCACTCCAGATTTCGGGATCCAAACCCAAGTCCCCTTCAGTCGTGACATTAAGAATGAACTTTGATGAAACCAGACAAGCACAGCAGTGATGGAATCAGAATTGGCTTCAACATGCAACAATCCAACACCACGCACCATCTTTCCTGCCCTGAGACACTGTTATGACAGATGGAGCCAAAAGTCATGGACTAAGTGAACTCAATGGACTTCTACAGGGATCGTCTATAGACCAAGGAAATGATATCTGTGTATCTATCAAAAGACAGGAAAGGTGGTGATGTATTGGAAAGTGCAGGACCTGGCATGATATAAATGGTATGGAAAAAGCAGTAGATACTGTCCTGGTTTCAGCTGGGAGTTAGTTTTCTTCCTAGTAGCTGGTACAGAGCTGTGGATTCAGCATAACAACACACTGATGTTTAGTTGTTGCTCAGTAGTACTTCCCTGAGTCAAACACTTCTCAGTGACTGATGCTCTGCCACCAGGCAGGTGTACAAGCCATGAGGAACAGGGCTAGGACACCTGACCTGAACTGGCCAAAAGGATATTCCACACCACAGACTGTCGTGCCCAGTAAATAAACTGGGGAAAGTGGCTGGGAGGGGCCAGTTGCTGCTGAGGGATGGTGATGAGCACCTGTGCTGTGCATCACTTGTGTTTCTCATGTTTTATCTCTCTCTCCCTCTCTCTCCATTACAATTATTATTACTTTGTTTCAATTTACCTGTTCTTATCTCAACCCCCTAGTTTCGTTTCCAATTCCCCTCCCCAGGGCAGCGGGAAGGGGATGGGGAGTGATCCAGGAGCTGCGGGGTGCTTAGTTACGAGCTGGGGTTAAACCACAACACAAAGGGATCTTTTGACCTCTACGCTGTAAATATTGTTTCCACATCTTACAAACTGAAAATAGAAACTGCCAGTGTTCAGATCTAGTCAACCTAACTGTCTGTGATGGCATTTAAAAAAAAAAACAAACCCTGGAAAAACTATAAATTAACTTGTATATTGAATCTGTGTGACGACTTCTCATTTTGTTCACATATACATGCAGCAATACAAGATTCACTCTTGCAGCTTGGAACAACCTACTCAAGTAACTTCCACAGATGACCTTACCAGTACTTCTACTACTTACATCTCTACCATTGTCAAGGGCTCAAACTCTCCTGCAATTCTGATTTACTAGGACCTTGAAATTGTATTAGATTTGCCAAATCCATCTATAAGTCTGTAGCTGTGCAGAATTAAACTCACTATCCTGACAGAATAAACCTTCCTCTAATTAAGGCTCAAGCAGTGTTTTATTGTCTAATGTGGAGGTCTCTCTCTCTCTCTTGCTGCAGGCTGCACATGTAATTTCATTCTGAAGAAAAATCCTGCCAGTACAACTCAAGTTGTAGTATCTACACCCTAACTGAAGTGTTTGTTTATATAGTTATATTATTATATATAAATAAATAGTTCCTCAGAAGCTGAAGTGTTCATGTCAATAGTTCAGTCACAGAAATTTAAATCTCACAATCTCATTAACAGCTTTCAGTTTCTTCTGTAAGATTAACACTTCATTTCCTGTGTGTTCCCTGATGCAGAGCAGAATTAGGGTATTTGTGCCTATGCTTTTGGCTGTGCAGCTTCATCACTAACATAGGGCCTCTGCTACAGATTTAGGGTTCATGGAGGTTTTTTCATGCAGAAGCTTTTCGGATGTGAAAAGCTCAGGATAACAGGGAGTTTCTTCTCTGTGTATCATTACCGGTGTTATAATGTCTCACCACTGAAATGTAGCTCAGCAAAGGAGTTTTGCAGTTAACACTGAGAAACACTACTCAGCTGCCTCAGCCACTCAGAGTTGATGACCACAGCTAACTACACTCACCATACAGTCAAGAACTTCACACCACTGGAATCAAACTGAAACACCACATTTATTAAGATACAACAGGTGCCGTGTTCAGCAACTCCATGGCTGTACTCGGCTGCAGAGATCACTTTGGAGCCTCCTCAAATTTGGGCTCTAGAGGGAAAAAGAGAAAAGTCATATTAGTCTCTCTTTATTCGATCCTCAAACACCACGATTAATCTGTAATTCAAAGAAAACTAACCATTAAGTTGGCAAGCTAAAGCAAACTCTTCTACATTGCAGTTTACACCCCCCCTTACTTTGCATCAAGGTCTGATTGAACGTGGGCAGCACTAAAAACAAAACTACGCTGGAGACAGGTCTTTTCCACCTTGCAGGAGTTACCCATAAAGCTAAGACTTAGTAACATTTGCCAAAACAGCTTTTAGCAAAACATGGGGTGGTGGGGAAGGCAGCAGGGAAACTGGAGGAGTCAATGAGAACATTATTGACCATGACAAAATATTTCCAACTCAACTCTGATACAAGAACAAGAAATCAAGCTCTTCCTCCTCTTGATTAGTGTTATTACTGTATATTAACAGAAAGGAATGGAAAATTTCAAATCCAGTCTCCACATGCAAACACCGAGGAAGGAGTTCTTGATGTCAAAGGTACAAACTCAGAAGAGTTAGGGCTTTGGACAGGTGGGCTACTAGTGCCTGTTCTTAAAACTGAGTCTGAGAGGTAAGGCTTGGCTTATAGTAATTGTCCCTAAGACAAAAAAATTGAAGTTCCTATCCATATAACCACTCAGTTTTGAAACCTTGTTGAAATTAGATTAAGGACAGGCAACAGTGATAAAAGAACAATTGTGTGTGTGTGTGTGTGTCCCCACTTTGTTCTGTTCCCACCTTCACAAATTTTGTTTCCTTACAAAAACAAATCTGAAATTTTGATATGCACTGTTTCCCATATGACACAGAAATAAAATAAGATAAAGAATATATTCATATAAAGAAACCACATCCCTAAAACTGGAGGGAAAAAAAGAAAAAAATCATAGATCCTACTTTACAGATACTCTGTTTTATTTGCACCAGTAACAACCTGACAGCAACTCTACCCAAGTGAAATGTTACTGAAATCCAAAATATTTTTAGGTGTGTTCCTACTCTAAATTAGAATTACCAGTTAGTCTGGTCAGAATTACAATGGTGGCTTGGCCTTGGCTGGCTGCCAGATGCTCACCAAGCCTTATGCTCTCTGCTCTTTCCCTTCCACGCTAAAACAAACTTAGAGCAGTTAAACAGAGGTCAGATCCAAATAGCTGAAGAAAAAGGTTTAATACTATTTAGCCACAAAGTATTCATAATTAAGAAAGTTAAGTTCTTTGTTCATTTTCTGAAATCAGTGGCTTTCCAGAGGAACTCACAAAATCTGAAAATCACAGTCTGCATGACGTAAGACAACTGATTTACAAATTCTAATCTGCTGATCTCTTTGGCAGGATGAGAAGAAAAATACAGGCCCTGGGCTATTTCTATTTGGGTTCTTTTTTTAGGGTCTATGAAGGGCAATTAAGATACCCTGATCTTACAGTAAGTTTTGTTAAGCATCAGTGTAAGGAAGTCCAGATCTCTACTGGAAAAGGCAAATAATTAAAAAAAGGAGTCAAGTGGAATCAGATGTGAATTGTGCGAAAGTGGTGAGATTCCCAGAGGGCATCTTACATGAAATTAATGGTCCAAATAAAGACAAAATGGAAATTAAGAAAACCCGTGAGTACGTCCTTACTTGCAACTGGAATTCAATAAGATTGTTAACTCACCCTCAAATTTAAATTCTGGGAACTTGGTTAGGTCTCCCTCACCATACGCCCGTTGGAGTCTTGCAAGGGATTCATTCATTTCTTTCTGAAATTCGGGTCCTGCATCAACAGGCCCTCCTGCTTGCCTAAAAAAGCATTAGAAGCTGTGATTAACAACTCAGTTCTAACATTGCATGTAGAAGTTCTACACTTTTATGCCCATGTATGAATTAAAAATCTTTTTGATAACCAACCAAAGGAAATCATTTAAAGTATTTCTGAAACTCAAGACATGACACACCTTAGGGCCTCCTTACCTTACACATTAACAAGGTTCTCAGGGTAAAGTACAGGTTTTCTGCTATTAGTGACGAAAATCCAAGCTACAGACGTGGCCTTTTGAGACATAAAACTACACTGAGTATCCAGGCTCTCAGGGCTTTTAGTTTCTCTTGTTCCACGTGCAAATTCCTAACAAAAACCGATTTGCACCTCTGCTGTCTCTGAATTAGTCACCTTGGTTAGTAAAGCTTAACTGTTCTTGCAAAGAGAAGCCAAAAAAAAAAATCCACAGAAGGAACTTCTTGGGATACAAATATAAACCAACTAAAATAGTAACTGTAGATTACCAGTGCTCAGTAGCACCAGCACAGGTAACTTAGGATGGATAAAACCACCAAAAATCTGCCTCCCTACACAGACTGGTAATAGGTGTGGAAACGCACAACTTCTACCAGTAGAGCTAAGGAGTGATTTATTCCCTTCCCAAGAATAATTCCCAACAGAGTATTACTATAGTTTTAGTTTCCTGTTCAGTAGTTCATTTAAACATTACAAGAATTTAAGATTCCATCTGAATGAGCTTATTAACTGGAGATGTAAAATGAATTATCCTGATAATTCCATTAGTTCTTGATTGTTTTTGGAAACAAGACTGGAGAATAATGGTTTACCCCAGACAAAAGAAATAAAGAAACGCTTGGTTTTGGTTTCCCCCATTCACAGAGCATATAGGTGGGTAAAAATCAACATACTGCTACATGCACATAGTGTGCAAGAGGCCTTAACTGGGTGCCTTAACCCCCCAACTTTTTTCTTTTTTAAGGGAAAAAATGTGACATTTTCTGTTGGGTGTGCAAAAACAAACCTTCTCACTGGTGACACCATCAGTAAGTGTTGCAGGAAAGCCTTAACACCTTAAGTATTTAGAGGCCAGCCTACAAAGCTACCAAAGTGCAGTCAAAAATCAAACAGTTCACGTTTCACGTTCTTACATCAAAATCAATAGTTTTCCCCCTTTAGGCATCAGCTTCCCCCCCTTAAAATAATTTCCTTTACTCACTTGCTCTTCGTGTTGTACTCTCTGATCTTGTCCAAGAAGAGCTTCTGAACGGGGTCGAGCTCTTTGGTCTTGTTGAAGATGATGGCAGAGAGACCGATGTTCCTGCGGAGCTGCACGGAAACAGCGGAGCGGAACAGGGAGGAGAGACGCAGAATCTGCCGCAGGATCATGATCGCACCGGTGCTTCAGCCTTTAAAAAACACCCAACAAAACAGGAACACGGAATTACTCACTGCGATGCAAATGCCCAAAGAAAACAAACAAAAAAAGTAGTTTGGAGCTGAACTTTAAAACAGAAAGGTATCAAAAGGTATTTTAATAGTATTTCGGGATATTTAAAGGGAGGAAAGCCGCAGGATCATAATGACACTGGTACTTCAGGCTTTAAAAAACCCAAAGAAACAGGAATACGGAATTAACCTACCACCATGTAAATGCATTACGAAACAAAAAAAAAACCAAAACGTAGGTTCGGCCTGAACTTTAAACCAGAAAGGTACTTAAAAGTATTTCAAGGTACCTAAAGGGTATTTTAAAGGGTATTTAAAGCAACACGGAGGCTGGGGTAAAAACTCCAGCCGCCACCGAACCCGAGGGCACCGTGACACCGCGGGCGCTTCTCCGTGGCCCGCTCGGCGCCGCACCGCGATGGAACCACCCAGACAAACCAGGAATTTCAGATTTCATCTCGTTTAAGCAAAAAAAGCTACTATTTTAACCCAACCCAGGTTCCCCCGGAGTCACCTTGGCCGAGCCGCCGCCGCCGCCGCCACCGCCTTAGCCCGGACCCGGTCCCGCCCCCGCGCGGTGCACGCCGGGACTCGCCCCCTCCGCGCACCCCCGGCGCCGCTCCCCCCCTCCCACACACCGCACGGCCCCGCTCGGCGCCCTCCGGGAGCGCGGAGGGACAGCCCGGGAGAGCCTGGCACGCACCGCGCCCGCACGGAGCCGCTCCCGGAGGAGGGGAAGCGCCCGGAGCCCTCCGGAGCCGCGGGAGCGCGCGGGGGCCGCCGGGAGCGGTAGTCCCCGCGCGGGGGCTGCCGGGAGCTGTAGTTCCCGCGGGGGCGCGGCGGAGTCGCGCGCCTTCCCCGCGCTGGGCCCGCGCGCCGCCCCCATCCCGGCGGGACCCGCTCCCGGACCCGCTCCTGGAGTCGCACCGCAGCCGGAGCCGGAGACGCGGGAGCTGCCGGACGCGGACGCCCGGCGGGACGCGTCGGCGCGGCGGGCGGACGGACGGACGGTGGCGGCGGCGGGTGAGCGCGGCCCGGCCCGTGTTTTGTTTCCGTTTCTCCCCCGGCGGCTCCGCGATCCCATTTCCGTTTCGGGTTCAAACAACTACACGGAGGCGCCGCGGGAAGCGGGGCCTGCGGGGACATGGAGCCTGGGCGGGCGCGGGGAAGGGCCCCCGGGATGAAGGAGCGGGAGCTCCCAGAGCGGGACTCGGGCAGCGCGGACCGAGCTCCGCGAGGCCTCCCCGGGGCGGGACAGCTTATCCCGCGTGTAAAGCCCTGTGCTGGATGGAAATCTACGGGCATGTGGCGGCTGGTGGTTCTCCCCCGGTACTCGGCGCTGGGGAGGCACCTCAGTGTGGTGTCCAGTTCTGGGCCCCTCACTGCAGGAGGGACATTGAGAGGCTGGAGCGTGTCCAGAGAAGGGAACGGAGCTGGGGAAGGGTCTGGAGCACAAGTCCTGTGAGGAGCGGTTGAGGGAGCTTGGGAGGCTCGGCCTGGAGCAGAGGAGGCTCGGGGGGGACCTTATCACTCTCTACAACTACCTGAAAGGAGGGTGTAGCCATGTGGGGGTCGGTCTCTTTTCCCAGACAACCAGCGACTGGACAGGAGGACATTGGGCTCCAGCTATGCCAGGATAGGCTTACATTGGATATCAGGAAGAATTTATTCACAGAAAGGAGGATTAGATATTGGAATGGGCTGCCCAGAGAGATGATGGAGTCACCATCCCTGGAGGTGTTCAGAAAACGACTGGATATGGCACTCAGTGCTCTGGTTTCATTGACAAGGTGGTGTTTGGGCATAGGTTGGACTCGATGATCTCAGAGGTCTTTTCCAGCCTAATTGATTCTGTGATTCTGTGATCTCGCATAGTATGCTTTCTGGTGCTCTGCCAGGTATGTTCTGCACAGCCACAGCTCCCAGTTCCCGTCTATTTTCTCACCTCAGGCTGTGGATAAGGAAGGTAAACACGTGAAATCTGGTGTGACTTCCCCCCACCCCGTTCACTTGTCCGCTATCTTTGTTGTAAATCCGAACTGGCTGAGTTGTAAAAGCTGACCTCTAAAGGACAGGCTGTCTGCTTTGTTACCTACTTTGTGCTGGTATTTACAGTTTGGATAATAATAGGGATGGATAGGAGCATATGGTACATATGCGCTGCACACACTGAAGCTTCTCGGGAGCACAGATAACTCCAGTGCCTGACTTCAGTATCGGCTGATAATGCATCTGAGTCCAGGACTGATTCCCACTTCACAATAACCTGGTGCAATAGCAAACATTAATTCTACTAGCAGAGTTTGTGCCCATATCTCTTCCACAAATCCAGCACAGTTTTATATGTTCCTCCAAACAAATGCTGCTGTTGCAGTGTTCCTACCACGTGACCCTCCAGGCAAGCCAGGCTCTTTGAGCCTTCTTGTCTCTCAGGAACCTTCAGGAAAGGCTCAGGAGGCTCAGGCAGCTCAGTCCTGTGTGAACTTGTGTTCACTTCCAAACTCTGCATCATCCTGTAGCAGCAAACTTTGCTAGACTTCATGTGAAATGTTTATATCATGAGAAGTCTCTTTATTCTACCATAGGAAAGGCTGAATAATCTTCCCCTTAGGCTTCTCTGAAATTTAATGACTTTACGTCTTTCCATCATGTTGTTGTTCTTCTTTCCACCATGTTGTTGTTCTTCTTTCCACCCATCATCTCCCTTCCTCGTGTCTGTGGAAGCATCTTTCTTCCTCCTTGTGTACCTACTCTTTGTGCCTGTGCTCCCCTCTCCCACCTCCCTAGGGATCCAAAAATACACCAGAGCCGGAGAGATGCAAACACAAACTGCCTTTGAAGAGTGAGTGAACAGTTACTAGTCCAGCTGCCCTTTTGGCATCCAATCCTTGGGGCTTCAAAATGCCTTGCCTAATTCTGAACAGTTACTATGTGCAGTAATATTTGCTCTCCCTTTAGCAATATTGAATATTTTCTGCCAGAAATCATTCAAGATGATGAGTTCCTTCTGCAAGTCTGCACAGTTTTCTCAATAAATAACTTATGAATATGTCAAGGAACAGAAATCCCAGCCTAACCCCTTTTGTGACCTTACTGGTAAACTCCCTTCATCACAAAAAAAAAAAAAAAGATAATTTACTCTCGTTTGGGGTTTTGAATCTGATTACTAATGCAGAAAAGACATTCATCCTTTTTTAATCATACCACTTTGCTTTTTTGGGAGTTTTCAGTAAGGGACATTGCTCAAACCTTGGTTTTGAAATATTTTTTAACAGTCAGACAGGTCACCTGCAACCATGTGGGTGTCTTTATTTTTAGATATTTAAGCCTGTCTGCATTTTTTGGAAGTCTTATCATGAAGATGATACACAAGATTAAGTGATATAGGAATTGGACTCCCAGGGCCTTGTTCAATGGACACTACCTGACACTTTGGAGATTTTCACAGTGCCAGATCTGTGAACGGAACGGGTTCTGGGTTTCCTTCTTGTGAGATACTGATATGGTGAATTTTTACTTCTTGTCTGGCTTTGGCAGCTTCTTACAGAATGGCACCACATGCAGCCTTTGATTTCTTTGCAACTGATCTTCCAAAATAGGTTTTGAAGGAGATGATGAGTAGTTTGAATTTCTTTAAACAGTTTGTGTAGCAGCTCTTGAATGTAGTTGGCTATTAATTCCTTTTGAGAAGTTTTAAAGTTTAATAAGTTCCCTTATTAACTTGTCTAGTAAGATTCTTATGCTAACAGTCAGGTTTGGGATAGAGTAGTCTCTGGGAAAGAATGAATCCAGGATGGAAACCTTGATAATCTCTTCTATTGTGGATATTTAAATAGTAGCATGTTTTGCATTTTCTGGTGTGATTTTTCTTCTTCTGTGCTCTTAATTCCTGCTCTCTTTGTTATGAGTTGAAGATGTTATTTATTGTAAACTGTTAATATAATTGGGCCTGGTTCTCTATCATTTGTATTTCATAGTTATGATGTATGGGCTGGTTAGTGAAACACAGTAATACCAGGCAAGCTATGTCTTTACACATCAAATGCAAAGATATTCTTTCTTTCCCTCTTATGCTCCCAACAGACTCCAGTGTTCTACAAGGCATGAAAATCTGCAGTCTCAGTAATAATATCACAGAGTAGCTTTCCCTTCCATTGCTGCTGTCCTGCATTAGTTTGGGACTTAACAAGATGCATTCATTGTGCACATCGTCAGCTCATCGCCCGTGGGACGGATGGGTGGAAAGATAGGACAGTCAACAAACACTGTGTTGTTCAGTTTATTTATCTGTGAAGAAATCATTGATCTTCTCTCTAACTTCCTGCTGCAGCTTTTCATGTAAAATGCTGCTTAAATTTATAAGCAGCAACTTTCAGCCTTGCTAGGAAGGTAGTATGAATTTTCAGATGTTCTTTGCTGTAGGTGGCCCATAACAAAACAAAACAAAAGTCAATAAATTTGGGTATCTCCAAGAGAATCATGCTTTGGGCTCCATGCTTATGTCCATTTATAGTCCTGGGTTTGTCCCTAGAACATTTGTTTGAAGAACAGGTATTGTCATCTGTTTTGTGAAATCTGTGTAAGCTTTGATTTATTTTTTAGATGAATTCTTGGCTTTAAAAGGGTATTCTGGTATTTGGTTTAAAAATAGGACAAAAAACATTATCTAGTCTTGTTGGTATGTGACTTAGAAAAAAATTTCTTTTCTGTTCCTAGCTCTGTTCTTAAGGCATTTCAGCCATGACTAAGAGAGAGGCAGAGGAGCTGATAGAAATAGAAATTGATGGAACTGAGAAACAGGAATGCACTGAAGAAAGGTATGTACTGCTTTTTGGAATCCTTAATCAGCACTTAATTAAATAATTAATTTATTTTTCTGTTTGTTATCTAATTCAGTTGGGTTTTTCTTAAGTTGAACTGTAGCCACTAGAGGAAATCAGTACAGTGCTGTCATGTCCCTCAATCTTAATTATTTAAAATCCAGACTGTTATTTCTTGCTACATTATTGGTACTTCTTTTCCTACCGTCATATCTGTAGGAGCATGTCTGTGTTTATGTGCTACAGACCTTTCAGCTTCAGTGTGTTCTTCTGTAACAGAGATGAACCTTCCAGTTTCTCCAGTCCATTGCTTTACTGCTATACTGGATTTCTACAGGGTCATTTGTTTCTGACAGAGCAGAAATGATGTTCTGTATCGACTATAATTGTTGTTAGGGCCGTTGAAGCCGTAGATAGTGAAGTCTGATATCCTCTGACTTTATTACCTCAACCTGGGTTTTTTTAGTTCCTAATGCTTCCCTCCTAATTTTTATAACTGTGTTTGAAAGCCCAGAGCTCAGTTAATGCATTGGATAGAAATAGCTGAGGCTGGTTAGGTAAGCTGCTCTTTAGGAACCTGTTTTAGAGAACTGATTTAAAAGCACTTACTAGTTTCTTCTTATTCTGAGCTCCTTGTATATTTTTAGTGCTTACAAACTATGACTGTACACTTTCTGATTTCCTTCTTTGTAAATGAAGAGAGCCCAACTGTCTAAAGTCATTGCTATGACAGTAGTCCCATAATATTGATATTTCTGAATGCCTTTTTTAATACTGTCATTGCTGTAGTGCAG